TTTTTGTATCATCGACACTTATAAATTTACAGGTGATCATGTATTGTGTTATATTATATTTTTGGAAAATTTAAGGGGTAGTTATATAATAATTTTGGACGATCTCAGACGGTCAGATACTTATGACTGCTACTGTATCACTCAGGTAAAAATTACTAATACTTTGAATCAGATAATACCTGTCAGGAATTCCTTTCTGCATTAAATTGAAATAAAATTACCTTTTCTATAATATTATTTGAGTCTGGATCCAACTCTTTAACCTCTTGTAGAAATCATTTAATCTATGCATTATCAAAGCCTTTCTATTCATTTGTATACGGTAGTGAATTGATAATAATAGTACAGTTCAGGGTTAGAAATTCCAAGTAAGACAAAGTTTTAGGTTTCACTCTTTTAAGTAGTTTACTAAGACTATTAAAAATAGGATATAATTAGTACCTGAAAGTTCTTTCTCCAGAATTCATTACTATACTTGTCTGTTCAGTCAATGTATAATTCAGATATCTTATGTTATTATTTTCCTAAAATTTCTGATTATTGTGGATTTCTCATACAGTCCAATTTACTTTACTCTGACTTTAAACATGAAATGTGAGAAGACAGGATTTTGAGAGAAAAGCAATAATCATTCTCTGGCTATGTAAGCAATTATTTTATATTGTCATTTATTTTCTTTTTTTGAACTAATGCAAAAAAATTTCTATAGAATATATTCTTCTGAATTTTTTAATATCAAAGAATATATTAGAAGCAAGTATTACATACTTAAAAGAGGTTTATAGAGACACAAAAATTGCAAGTATTCTGGATCAGAACAGTATCACATGATAAAGTGAATCTACATATTTAATTATATATGATATAGTTTATTAGTAAAAGTAGCTTCATTAAAAATTATATGATAAATCGAAGGTGAGTGTCAAATATTCTATTTATAGAATGAGAAGTTTTCCACAATATATTTACCTCATTTCTTATCAAGTCTGAAAAACTAGAAGCGGTAAAGGATTTAACCTACTGAATCTTACTTTCACTGATTTTACTAAAAATATCATAAATCTTTAGGCTGTATCAGTTCTTTTGTGTATCATAGCCTGATTGAGATCTTTTGAAAGTTTATCTTTAACTTCACTATTTAGCTTTATATGTGCCGATTGTAAAGGGTTCCTTTTTAATAGTATGGTGAGTCATTCTAATAAAGCCTTTCTAAAGTAAAAATAATATTAAATTACCTTCCAATTTGTTTGATTCCCCTTCTTTTCATTCCAATAAAGCCTTTCTAAAGCAAAAATAATATTAAATTACTTCCCGATTTGTTTGATTTCCCTTTTTTTCAACTATATCAATATCAAAATACAATTTATGGAATTGATTAAATACTTCTTCCATATTGGAATTTTTGGAAGGTGCATTGATTGATAGTTCATCTAGAATTAATAACTCTTGAATAATAGTTTGCAGTTTTATACTTCTAGGTTTGCTTTGATAAGTATCTTCTTTTTTTTAGATTATTTTTTTTCCTTTTTAAATATATATGCTAATCATAATCAATCATGATTTTCTACCAATTAATTTTCAATTAAAAATTTGGATATATTTGTAAAACTAAAGCTAATATACAGTACCCAGCAAGAAGTCACCAGTCACATGATTATTGATCATTATTTGTTTATCTTTAAAACCTGTTATCTCAGCCATTTTCTTATTAATACACCTCTAGTTTTTTGCCATGTATTATTAAAATTTTTCTTATTTAAACATGGCTTTTAAAAGAAAAGAACTTTTCATTTTTGAACGTGGTAAAGTCGTTAGTGCTTGAAAATGTAAAATAAGCGAAAAAAAGATTGGCGAAGCTTTAAACCATCCTAAAGTACCATTCATGATGTTATTTTTGCTTATAAAACTTGTGGAGATAAAATACTTGCTTCTAGAACTGGTAGACTACCTATAATGACTGAAAGAGATGGTTATCATTTGATGAGAATTCTTAAGAAAATAGAAAAATGAACCTTCAGAAATTATATGAAGAATTTGTCAATTCCACTTCAACAAAAGTTAGTAAAAAAACTTTAAGCACTTACCTTCATGAACAAGATTTCTATGGTCGAGTTGGTATAAGAAAACCTTTTATAAGTGAAAAAAATAAGCAAAAAAGACTTATCTGGGCTAAAGAAAGAAAAGAGTGAGTAAATGAATGGGAAAGTATCATTTGGAGTGATGAATCCAAGTTTGAAGTATTTGAAGAAAATGGTAGAAGATGAATTTGGAGGCAGCCTCATGAAAAGTATGATGTGAAGTGTTTAATTTCTACAGTAAAGTTAGGTCAACAAGGAGTAATGATGTGGGGATGTTTTACAAAACATAATCTTAGTCCATTGGTAAAATTAGAAGGAAGGATAACAGCTGCGATATATAAGAAAGTATTAAAAAATAATTTAATACCATTTTTAGAGGGTTTAGATAATCAGGATAATTATTTTTTTCAAAAGAATAATGCTTTCATATACACTGCAAATATTATTAAAAGATGGAAAGTGAAACATAAAATGAATAGTATTCCCTAGCCTACACAGAGTCCAGATCTTAATCTGATAAAAAATTTATGGAATGAATTAGAAAGGCAGGTGCGGACACATACTTCATTACCAAAATACAGAGAAGATTTATGGGAAATACTTTAAGAGGAGTGGTCAAATATTGATGTTAATAAATATCAAAATCTTGTTGATAGCATGTCTCGTTAAGTTGCTGCTGTTATAAAAAGTAAAGATCATCCAACAAAGTATTAATAATAGCTAAAGTTTTTTATCGTGCAAATAAAAAAATTTTATTAAATTTAGTGTGACAATGATCAAGTAATTTGAATTAAAAATTTGCATTAAAATTGATCAGTATCATGTGCCTCTATAATTAGCTTATAAGTTCTTTCAGAACGCGATTTTAATTTTTTCATTGTGAAAACACATTTAATGTTCTTTGGTATAGAGACGAAATTGGTAATAATAGTATATGAGAGTAGTATTTTAATTATTTAAGTGATTTTTTTAGAAATATGCATTCTATACCTTTTGTCGCTAGAGGTTCTAGAACAGGAAAAATTAGACGCTTGAGAAACTGAAGAATCTCGTTCAGAAAAGAACATTTAATAATACAGATAATCAGATACAAGAGATTTTTGCAAATATAATAGCAGTGATAATAACTTTTGGTAATGGATTAGTAGCATTTGATAATAATATTAAGTTTGAAAGAGAAATTGTATTTTGTATACAGATTCTGTATCGCTATTTTATGAAAGGAAATTCAAATATGCAGTATAAAAATTTTGTAAACTAATGTATAAAATTAGGTTTATAAAAAGGAGATTTAATGTTAAAAATAGTTTTGATGACTATTTTTATGGATAAGTATGATCAGCAATAATAAAGTGACAACATATCAGCTTTTTTATTATGCGTAGATAAAATAAACAAGTTAATTGATATAGATGAATTGACATTCTAAATAGTCATAAATGTAGTAGACTGATTGAATTATGAAAAAACTGTCAAAAACATATTCTTTATTTTTATTCTTTCAGAAATACTTAAGCAATCTCTATTTCAGATTGTTACAAAATCAATACACCCTACTTTAGTACATCTATTAGACTTATTTAACAATACTAATATAATTAAAATAGCCTAAGAAAATTCTAATTTAGATAAACATTATGTTATAATCATAGCTTCATTTCGTCAATATCTATCAGATATTAGGGAACATATTCATACTTTAGAATTTTTTTTAGAGAAATGTGTTTCTGCAAAAGTTTTGAATTAAATAACCTTTATGAAGTAATGTAATTTGTAAAGGAAAAGTTAATAAACAGATATGACTTCAGAAAAGTAACATATGAAATAGCTTAACCAGTTGCACATGCGATACTTGGCTTAATTGTTTCTCTATTAAAAAGAATTTCAAAAAAGTTTTAATTAACTTACACAGACTTAAGTAGCATAATAATATTGGTATTTCAACACGAGAGTAAGCAAGCATCATTTTACATAAGAATACTGTATATTTAGTATAATGCATAGTAATGAATACACGTGAACTAGAAGCTAATTAAACAAAATTCTGAAAAACATTTATAATTCAAAAAAAATTTTGTGTAACAAGATTAGGATGACTTAAACCTTTACTTTTAAGTATTTAGACTTTATCTATATTATGTTATCAGTTATTAACAAATTGATATGGATGAATTTCTCTGTGAAGTTTATTGCGAAGCTGATTTTAAAGAAAATACAATAGAGATACCATTAAATTTAGATAATATAAAGATCATATATATCAAAGAACAAATTCTTGAACATCAGAAATATCATAATGTAAATAATGAGTAAATTTACAAAGAATTCACAAACAATATGATTGTCAAAAATGGACAAGAAGGGGTAATAGATAGATTTACTTACTATAAAATTTTTAACTAAACAAAACTTGTTACAATCTGCCTTCAAATGAAATGGGATTAGTTATAGATACCTACTGAAACCTTCTTAAAATAATTTTATCATATCCTTTTCTATAATTTTAATATAGTTTCAACAGTTTTGATTTTTGTTATATCAAATGAGTTTTGTCATATCCCTTATTATGATTTTAATATAGTTTCATCTAAGTTTCAATTGTTATTAAGGAGTTTCATCTCTCATCTATAGGATCAGTATAAAATAATAAAATTACAAGTAATTAATCAAGAAACAGTATTTAACAAAGTATAAAAAGTAATGAAAAAACTGTAAAGTCATCTTTATCTTTTATTACAATAATATTGCATGATCCTTTTGTGTAATATATTATTATCAAAGGCGTTATAACGTATTTTGCCTAATGATTTATCTTCAAATATTACTCTTATTTATAAAAATAATTTTGCTGAATTCTACGGATCAGTGTATACAAATCGTATACAATTTGTTGCTGGTAGAAATATCATTGTGTATTATCAATTATATCTATTCTAAATTTTCCATCTAATATGTATTCTCTATTAACAAATTAAAAGGTTAACATTAACTTGGTTTATAAATGAGAACTATGTCTTATTCATGAAGTAAGACTAAAAACTGCAAGTGATATTATAACAAAGTAAAAGGAAAGACTTTTTGAAGAAAAAATGGATTATTATACCGTGTGAAGTTTCTGAAGAGAGAATTATCACAGATTGAGTTTTAATTATAAGAATAACTAATAAAATATATATTTGTAATATAGCTTATAAAATTTATTGTTATGTGAATTTGTTATTTAAATATGTAAAATATATAGTATTAGAATCATTATCAATATTTGAAACTAAAGATAAAAACAAAAAAGAAGACATTTTTAATTGTAAAACTTTAAGATTATTAAATATTGGTCTGTCTATAATTCATAATATAAATTAGCCAATTAAAATAATATTTGATTTTAGTATTTACCTGATTAAAATAAAACTAGATAATTGATTTAATAAATTCTAAATCAATTATAATCTGAACTGATTAAAACTAGTTATAAATTTAATATTTAAATCTGTTTTGTAAATCAGATAATTATAAAGAAGTGTATTTATATAAAGGGTAATTATATAGAGAGTGATTGTATATAAGAAAAAAAATCAGAAAAATACATGATTATGATTAAATTTAATTGATATAATTTTATTTACTATTTATTATAATACAATTAATTATTATAACTTTAACTAATAATATATTTTTTTTATATATCAGATGTTAACAAAAGAACTTTTTACAAATTTATAAAAAATAGATATTTAACAGATATTATAGTTATTTAACAGTTACATATAGTTATTATATTATAAACTTAACACATATTACTTTGACTAATTTTATTGTATTCACATTATATATAGTTAAAAAGTTTTAAAATTTATATAATAAATGCAATATATTTTGATTTTAAAATTTACTTATTATTATATTTTATAGTTTTTTAATAAAATAAAATGTTTATATATAGCAACTATTACTAATTATTTTATAAATTTAATTTAATAAATATTTTTATTAAGTAAATGTAAATTACTATTATTATTATCAAATAAGTAATATTATATATAATTAAGATAAAAAATTTACTTGCAAAAATAATAATAAAAAATTATAAATCTGATAATCTAAAGGACTTATTAATTTATAATAAAATATTTATATTTCTACTTTATTTTTTTAATAAATTATATTAAAAAATTTTATTTATTCATATTAGTTATTTATTATAGGTTAACACAAAAAAATTATAATAAATTATTAATTATTAAAAAATAATTTTAAATATAATTATATATTTGTAAATACTTATATTATTTCTTATTTTTATTTTTTATTTAATAATAATAAATTAATAATTAAAACTAATTTTCATTTTAGTGATCATATGTAAAATTTCACATATCTATAGAATTAAGATTAGTTAAAGTTAAATTTTTGTATAGAATTAGGATTTGTTAGGATTAGGTTTAAGATTAGGATTATTTATCACAATGTGTTACACTTCTCTGGTTCTCATTTGTAATAATTAATTGAAAAACTTAAAAAATTTTTATTGTTAAAATTCTATTTGTTATCTATTATATATTATATAGGTGATTTTTACCAAGGGAGCAAGTTAGCAAAAGTTTAAATTAATATAAAAATAGATTTAGTAATTCTTAAAAGAATTTTTAAATAAAAATTAACTTTACTTTTTTTATGTTTTTATGATAATAATAGTTATTAAATTTATATTTTATAAATTTATTAATATAATATAAAAATATTAATTATATAATAATTTTAATAATTAAAATTAATATAATATTTATCTTTTGCGAAATTTTTTTTTTACAAAACCATTATTTTCATTTTTAGATACTATTTTTCTAAATTAAAGTATAAAATATTAAACGTTATTTTTAAATAAAATTAAATAATAATTATATTATGATTTTAAATTCTTTTACTTTCTAAATTATTACTTAATATATAAATACTTTGCAGTAAAAAGGATAAAATATAAATTTTTTTTGAGTTAATGTACTTATTACTAAAATCATATTTAACATAAAATAAAATTTGCTTTTTTTTTGGGTAATTTTTATCCTTCTACTGCATATAAATTACTACTTCTATCAAACGTATTATTTATTATTTTAATAATTTTGATAATATATAATAAAGTTTAATTTTAAAAATATTAATTAGCTACTTTCTGTTAACTAACTAATTAATATATTAATTAAATCGAAGAATCGCTAAAATTGTAAATTAAAGATTTAAATAAAATTAAATACCCTGGGCTAAAAATTTTTTCATTATGTTATTTTAAAGGATTTTGTGATGTACCACGTGAAACGAAAATTCGTTAGATGAAAAATCCATCTTTCGATGGATATAGAAATCCGCGATTATTTTTTACAATAGCAGAAAATAATAAGACTAAATTCTGCTTACAAATGACTGATAAGTAGTATATAAGATCACGTGGTTTGTATTTTTTTCGATTGATTATACAAAACGCTTAGCTTGATCTGATAATGGGCTAAAAAGTGATCGACTATTTTGTTACGCCAATACATAATGAGTACAAAAGTGACAGTTAATTTTGTAACACAAACAATAAAAGATCAAGTCTCGAAATTTTAATCTAAATCTTCATATAAGATCATATTTCTTCCCTTTTCATTTTTTACCTCATTTTTTTTTCTTTTGAATAAACTTTCTATACAAAATTATGCCTCAAATATTATATTCTTATGAAGATACTGAAATTCGTGAAGCTTCGACTTCGTTGAAGACACTTCGTGTTGTCAATATATTATCTCTCATAGCGAGCTTCACCAGTAGTGTTTACGCTTATATTCTTGACCCAAGAGAAATTGATCATAAATATAACAATATTTTTTTTCCGTCGTTAGTTTTGATATCAATTTTATGGCCCTTAATGTACCTTTTCAGATTTGGGTTTGTTTTTTATACACAATTTAGCAATGTTGCCATAGTTCAAGAAGTTGTGAATGAGAGTGTTGGTTGGTTATTTACTTTGGCCAATCTTTTTATGCTTGGCTGGTTTTGGTTTTGGGTTTGTGTAGATTTGAATATTAATTCATTGCAAAGCATTTAAATAATTTTAAAATGAATTCTAATTTCCTTCATTCATTTGATTCAATTAGTTGCAATTGAACTTTGTAGGATGTTCATTTTTTGCAACATTGACTCTCTTAGTAGTAAGTCTTGCTCACTATAGGCTTACAGTAGATTACCCTCCAAATGAATTACCTTATTCACAAGCCAAGAAAATTTATATTTTCGCTCATGTTCCATTTGCGATATATGCAGCATTTTCATGGCTGGATTTATTTCATAATATTTATATGGCAATACTGAAATCAAATGATGATGATGATTATGCTTTATTAGGAGTCTTATTTGTTTGGATTATGGGAATAGTTGGGTTTGCATGGACTGTCACCGGATTGTTTAGTAACCGTCAAAGAGATGGACTCTTTGGTCTTGCCATGGCCGCGTAAGTTTTTTTTCTCTACCTAGTTGAATTTAAAACAAAAATGAATAAAAAATTAACTGGGGGTTTTCTTTCCTTTGTTAGATGTCTAATCGATGTCGCTGTTAGAGAATGGGACATATTGTACTTGTCAATTCAAACATCATTATTAGCTGGTTTAATTATTTTATCCTTTATAACGATTTACGTTAAATCCGGATATAAGTTAAAACGAGCTCTTAGTTCCCAATGGATAAGTAATCCAGGTAGTTTTAGGGAGCAAGCACCTTTATTACGGAATCAAGTATGACTTTATGGAAACGAAAAATTTATGCAAGGAAATTCAGATTCCGGATGGTTATTTCAATTAACTTTATTTTTCGAAAATTTTATTCTATTGTATTCATTAAAAAAAAAAAAAAAAAAATTATATTTATTTTTTTTTCATAGAGCAATATCCCCAACCAAAAAAAAACCCCCCATTTTAAAAAATATATTTCATTAAACAGGTTGTAAATTTATAAATATAAGATTTGTGCACAGACATTTTGGTTGCTATTTGTCACGGCAATGCATATCATAAGTACATCTTATCAAGTTTAGGTATAAAATAGGGGGGTGATGATTTATGCAGTGATACGATCATCCCCTTAAAACCTTGTTGGTTGCGTTTTTCTTGGATGATAAGTCATTTAAAAACTTAATTTTTTCTTTTTTGTTAATTTGAGAGAGTTTGAATAATGGACCCTCGACCTTTACCTCCTGGATTTATTTCTGAATTTGATCCCAACACGCAACGGTATTTTTATGTTGGTATGTAAGAAATAATAAATATATTATGAAAAGTTGTGAAGTCAAGTAGTTTTCGTGGTAGTAATAAATCTTCATTGTTAAGGTGAGAACAAAAAAAATTACCAAGCCTAAAAAAGAAATAACTTTTTATTTCATATGCAAAGACACGAGCACGGGAACCTCTCAATGGAATCACCCACTTGACGCGAAACCACCTTTACAACCATCTGTGGAACAAACCTCAAGTCAATACCCCTCACAATTTCCATCTATTCTAAACCCTAGTCAGCAAGGTCATTATCCGCTTGGGTTTACAAGTCCAGGTCTTCTTCCTTCATCTGACCAACGATCAACATCGTCATTTCCACAACCGTCGAATTACCCTCCCATCACATATGGAGGTCAAATGCCTATATCAGACAGTTATGCTTCTAATCCTTATTCAATGATGCAACAACAACAACAACAACCACCAACGCCACCACAACCACCATATTCTTCACCCAGTCCATATCCGCAACCTACATCATCCGATTATCCATCACCTTATCCACAACCCAGGCCTGAGCATTACCCTCAATCAAATTATCCTTATGGTGAAGCTCAAACTTATGTGGGTGGATCGTCTCGTACGCATGATATGCATGAACAGGATCAAGATAAAGGAATTGGTAAAGTATTATTAGGTGCAGGAGGTTTGATAGGAGGAAAGCATGCTACTCATGGCATGGGTAAAGTATTATTAGGTGCAGGAGGAGGTTTGGTAGCAGGAAAATTAGCCAAAAAGAAATTAAAGAAATTTAAAGGATGGAAGGGTAAAGGATGGAAGGGTAAGGGATGGAAAGGAGGATGGAAAGGAGGATGGAAAGGTTGGAAATAGTAAAATCATCGGTACAATAAGCATAATTTTAGTTTTAAAAGGTGTACTGAACATAATTTTTAAAAAAAATAAATCGAGTACGGAAAGAAGAAAAAAAGATAAATTAAATTTCTTTTAAAGGTGAAGAACTTCAAATTGGCGTTAAAATGAGGATATATTTATTTTTATAGATGAATCATTGCAGACGCGTGTTGCGCATGCACACAGATAATATGTGAGAATATGTCATCCACAAAAAAATTAATGTCCGTGACCTTTTCCAGGTTTAATTGAAATTTCCAGTATGATTTACATAGATCAAACAGGATAAAACATGTTAAATGGTGTGACAATTAAAATAACAAATATTTTGTAGATTCTTATTTTCTTAATATTTATAAATCAACCTTAAATATTTTTTTTTTACCCCAAATTTTTACGTAAAATTTATGCCGAGTTTTTTTTTTGATCATCGAGAAACATCTATAAATCTATTCTTAAGAAAAAGTAATGAGAGATCCAATAACGAATGAAAATGAACTCGGGAATTTTGAAAATTCGGCCACATCCTTTATTTAGATAAGAATAAAGCAAGGTTAAAGGAATGTGATCCTTAAACCTAACATAATACATTAATGGAACACTAAAGGAAACAATATGACGAAACATATTTTCGGCAGGAGAAAAATCGTTGTTCAACTATTATTAAATTATATGCTTAAAATTTTCGTGGCCTGTTGTACATAATATTCTCGCTCTTTGTGATATACCGAAAATGGTTCCAAAAGAAGGTTATCCTTAGTATTGTCAAGAGGAGAGATATCATTTTCTTTTAACTTATTAGGAAGAGAGATTATGGCTTATATAAATAAAAAAAAAATAATAATATAATTTTATTATTTAAACACCCAACTTCCCACCTCAATTTTTACACAATAAAAAAATTTGGCGAAAAAAAAAAAAATAATTATTCTTCCTATAGAACCTAGACTTTCTATACTTTAATTAGAAATTTTTTCTTAGCTGGTGCTAAAAAAAAAAAAAAAAAAAAATTCCCTAAATATCATCATCATTACATTATATATATAAATAAAAATATATATAAAATAAAAAAATGCTCCTTAAATTGATATCCAAATTTTCTGTTCCGACACTTCACTTTCAATCTCGTCCTATATTATCACAAAATAAAATTATGACACTATATCCAACCTTATCACCAGAAGCAGCTTCAAGAACTGCAAACCGTTCCAGCATGATGTCGGTTGCTTCTACGGTTGAAGCCGAAATAAATTCCTGGTCGTCATCTCCTAATGAACCTTCTACTCCTGTAAATGAAATTGAGGAAATTATACCATTAATATCTATTAACGTCGAGCAAGAAATTCATAGAGTTGCTTATAAAACGTTACAGCAATGTATTGATCTATTAAGAAGTTTAAATGATGATAAAAGTTATGTTTATGAAAGTAAATTTATCTCTAACAGTACTATCGGGAAACATGTAAGGTAAGAATATCAAAAGTTCTAAATTCGTAATTACGGTAGAAACAAAGATTTATTTACCTTTTTTTTTTTTTTTTCTTGCAATAGACATTTCTATGAACATTTCCAGTTACTGCTTGAGTCCAAGCCATTGAAAGCGAGAAGATTTGTATCAGAACATCTGAATTATGATGATTATCATTATGAAGAACCGAAAGAAGATAACACAAAACTTTGGACTGTCAATTACGATGATAGGTCAAGAGATGTAAGTTGTATCTCCTTGTTCTCTTATTTGACGGTTAAGAGTAGATGCTAATTTAACCCTTTATTGTTATTATTATTAGATCCCATTAGAAACGTTACGGCATACAGCTATAAAACAACTCGAACGATTACAAGATACAATTTTAAATGATAGCATTTTGATACCTCTTCATACCCCAATACAAATTAATACCACGGTTGATTCCGAAATGTTTATGGATCCAATCCCATTACAATCTACTTATGGCAGAGAATTATGGTTTTGTTGTCACCACGCGGTAAATGATCTTTATTTCTTTTTGATTTTACCTCTCATGATAATCATCTATTTACAAAGTATTTTTACTTTTCATCTTTAGATTCATCACTTCGCCTTGATTAGAGTCATTTGTATAGAACAAAATATTGAAGTTCCTGAGGATTTCGGTGTCGCTCCTTCCACGCTTAAGAAAAGATATGAATTAGAGCACGTGGAAAAAGAGCAAACCGACTAAATTTGAACATTAGAACATTTATATTTTCTTTAAATATGTTATATCGTTAATTTTTAGTTTTTTTTTTTAAATTAATGTAGAAAGTTCTTTTCTTTTGTAATATATTTTCGTTTTTTACTGTTTAATAATTTAATATAAAAACAAAAAAAAAATAAATAAATAAAAACATTTTAAATTCTTCAAATACATTATGTAGTCACATTTATCATTGACACCATTGACACTTTCAAATAATTTAATTATTGAACAACGAAAAAGATAAAAAATTCAGAAATCTGTACAACCACCACCTCCCAGAAATGGAAAAATTAGTTGATTGTCCTACATATCACAATGGATCATAAATTACAAATAAACTAAATAAATTATTTATCTTCATTCCTTGTCATTTCTTTTTTTTTTTTCTTTTTCCGAAATATTTAAAAATATACTTATTTTTTAAGATAGTAAATGTAATAAGCTTAAATTTTATTTTATTTATTTTATTTTTTTTTTATAGACTACGTAAATGTATTCATAACTTATTATGTATTATTTTTTAGATACTATCAATCGTTGTTTCTTTAAAAGTCTCCTTCTCCGGCGTTGTCATTCCACCGGAAGAGCTCGAAGAAGGCGACGTTGATAACATCATCATTCCTTCGGCAGCAATTGCTGTTCTCTCGGAATAGTCTTGAATGGCGTAAGAAAAATCGTTCAATTTGTTGACAGAAACTGACTCCAACGGGGATGACTTTGGTGTTGTCAATGTTGGACTTTCAATGAAACTAACCCAATTAGGTTCTTGTATAATCGGTGGAGTTATTCGTTGGATTGAAGATAATGAGATTTTAGGTAGTATTTTGCGTGTCGCCCTTTTCGGTAATTTCTTCGTTTTCGTAGGATGCATATTATCCTCAGAATCAGTTTTAACGAGTTGACTCGAGCAAACAAGGTTATCACGTGAAATTGATTTCTCTTCAATAACACTTTCTCCCATACGATTAAAATGTACCCCGAAATTGGATTTAGTTCTTAAAGCATATCGAAATCTCTGTCTCTTTTGCTTTTCATCATAATTCTTTATACATTCACTGAACGGTTGTTTCACTCCACCATTATTTTCCTTGAATTCAACATATTCCACCAACCTTCTCGCGTTTTGTGATAATCTCTATTCATATTTAATAAAAAATTCATTTGCTAATTGGAACAATTGATAAACAAAAAAAAAAAATATCAACGCGTCTTTTTCAATTATGTTACCTCTTTTACATTTTCATCAAGCTGATCAAACAAGAAAGGATTCTCACACAAACCATTGCAAATTTTCTTGAGAAAAGGTTTCTCATATCCGCCTTTCATATTGTCAACCTCGCCTTCTGTCTCTTCCATTTGAACATTATGAGGACGTTTACTACCAGGTAATTTCCCCATCACGAAAAGGATGATGATGATAAAAGAAAAGAAAAGAAAAAGGAAAGTTGTGTTGTCGAATATCTTCCAGACGTCAAATTTGGATAGATTGAGCTATAAATTCCCGAGAAACAAAAAAAAAAAAATTTTTTAAAAAATGAAAAAAATTTTTTTTTATTTATTTACGTGTAGTTAGTTATTTGGAAGAATTCTAACCTTTTCTTTTCTTTGTTTTTTATGTTATTAATAAAAAAAAAAAAAATTTATGTGTATTATTGTGACTAATTATATTAATAAATAAGTGGTTAAAAGGGAAAGAGAGGGGAAAAAAAGGAATTTGGCCTTTCCTTTTATATTTGAAAATTCGCGTTACTTGAAAGATTTTTTTTTTTTTTAAACTAATAATAATAGTGTTTATTTTTGTTTGTTGCGTCACGTGTTGATCTGATCTCGTGTAACTGAGTCCATTTGCCTTACAGCAAATCCTGGTAACGCGCGGTAACATGGGTGAGAAGAAATTCTCGCGATACATCACGGATTAGCTATTACACGATATGCAATATACTTTTTTAATTAAAGCATCTTTTTTAATCAAACGCTCTATGGTGAGTAATCTAACGAAACGCGTTTTAACTTATGTCATAAACGCGTAAAAGGATAATTGACATAAAAGGGCAAAGTCGCGAGAAGCTACGCATATATATATATATATATATAAATTTATATTGTACGCGTTATGCGTTACAACAGATTTTGATAAATCCTCTCCATGTTGTGCTCCCTTTTTTTTTTTTTTTTTTTTTTTTTTTTTTAATAATAATAATGATTTTATAAGTTTGATGATATTTCGTATAATTTCACAAGGAGTAAGTTAAAAGAACAAAAAAAAAAAAAAAAAAAAAAAAGCCGAGAAAAATTTTTTTTTAGAACTCGTGTTTTATGAATTACAAATGATAATTATGACGTACATGAAGTATGCCGATCGTTCGGTTATATCATGTGATAATTGTGCAGAGAAGTTAAATTATGATCCAAAATAAAAAAAAATTAAAATCACATACCTTTAAAAATTCTCTTTGAAACATGGGTAAACACGAATTCTTGACACCAAAAGCCATCGCAAACAGAATCAAGGTTTGTACTACTTTTAAACTGTTCCTCAAATTTTTTAACCGACTCAATTTTATTTACAGATCATCCTTTTTTTTTCTTTTTAAAGGCAAAAGGCCTTCAAAAGTTGAAATGGTACTGTCAAATGTGTCAAAAGCAATGTCGTGACGAAAACGGTTATCAAGTTTGTGAACCTATTTTCTTTGTTTAAATTTCTTGCGTGTATAGATCTAGGTTAATTAACTGAAATTATTTTTTTTTTTTTTATCTAGTGTCATATTCGTTCTGAATCTCATCTTCGTCAAATGGATCTTTTGAAAGAGAGTCCTTCTACCTACATGCATGGATATTCCAAGCAATTTCAAGACGATTTTGTCAAATTAATTTCACGAAGGTTAACATTTACAATATTTTCTTTCGCAAAAAAAAAAAATAAATAAATAAAAATATAAAATATAAAATGATTTTAAAATTTTTTTTTTTAAAAAAAAAATAATAATAATAATAATTCAACTCTTAATTCATTAGATGGGGAACGAAACGTGTTCATGCCAATCTTGTTTATCAGGAATATATCGCCGATAGACATCACGTACACATGAATGGTACGATATGGGAAACTCTGACAGATTTCGTAAAACATCTTGGGAAAGAAGGTATTTGTCATGTTGATGATACGCAGAAAGGATGGTTTGTCACCTGGATTGATAATAGTCCAAAGGCATTGGCAAGACAGGTACTTACATCGATTGTTCTAAGCTGACGATTCTTTTTTTATTTTTATTTTTATTTTTTTTTTAAAAAAAAATATTATTATTATTAATAATTTGTAACTTATTTATTAGGAGGCAATTTTGAAAAAAGAACGTTCTGAAAAGGATGAAGAAGAGAGGACTCGAAAATTAATAGAGGAACAAATTGGAAGAGCGAAAAAAGAGGCGGCAGATTTAGGTTTAGATGAAAAGGTATTGTAAAATGGTTTTTTTTTTTTTTAAAATAAATTGCAAGTTGCAATATGTTAATGTCAACCTTTTCTTCCCCTTCAAGGAAATATACACGGAACTTAAACGTGAAACGGAAGAAGAAAAGATCAAACTTAATCTTTCATTGGCAAAATCATCTAATTCAAATACAACAGATAAGAATGATTCGGTTGCAGAAGATTCTAACGCTACAGTTCCCACATCTAATCATACGAGCATATCCTTTAATAAACCTTCAGCACAAAAAAAATCTCTCAGCTCATTAGTCAAAAAGTCAAATCCTATTGCTACACAAAAGAAGGAAAAGGAAAAAGAACAACCAAAGAAGTTGTCAGCAATGGAAGAAATTATCATTGAAGAAACGGAAAAAAAGAAAAGAATGGAAAATTTTAAATTAAATGGAATTAATAAACTAAATGGAAATAAAGGAGATAATCGACGAAAAGATGACTATAAAGATAATCGTGATCGTGATTATGCAGATAGGGAAATAAGAGAAAGAGATCATAGAGATTATAAAGACAATCGAAGAGATTATAGAGATAGGGACAGAGAACGGGAGAGAGGTCATAAGGAAAAGGATCGAGAATATAGAGAAAAAGAAAGAGATAGGGAAAGATACAGACAATATGATCGTGAACCAAAAAGAGTTCGTAGGGATTAGAGTGAATCCTGAAGATTTCCAAAAGGGTTCTTTTTTATTATTTTTTAACATCAAAGCTTTGCCATTGTCCTTATTATATAAGGGGATATATACAGTATATACACCGTATATATACATATATGTATTATTTAAAAATTCATATCTCAGATTCATACAATTAGTAGACTTGAAACTGCATATTTATGATAAAAACTATTGAGAGAATTGCTTGTAACAAAAATAATATTATATATTTGATTGTTTGTTAAATTATGCGTCTGCTTTTTAACTTATGATAATATAATAAAATTGAATTAATAATAATTTTGTTGAGGTTCAACAAAAGAAACATTTGACACTAACCCTTGAAGAACTTCTTTGAACCTAAAGTTATCTATAAATTAAGATAAAACAGGCATTCGTTCATAATTAATAAGGTAGTGTTGTAAATCTTTTTTGAGATAGTTCTACTATGCGGATAACACTGATCTAGGGTGGACACAACCGCCATCCAAAATTCAAATTAATTAAAGGTAGTGTATCGAAGATGGATCATTTTATTTAATTATCACATCTCTTTGAACTGAATCACTAATTGGAAAAAAATTTTTTAATCCCTTATAAGATCTTTTATGTCAAAACGCAAATAATTAATTTATTATACCTTGTGATCTCTGATTTAGGCAATATCCCATATTTGTTTTAACCCCCCGTTGAAAATTTTGTTTTGCTTCATTCAGTTTTTTTTAACTTGGCGTTATACGTAATACTTTTTTCTTTTTTGATGAAGGTTTTTTGTGATATACAGTATATTATATCGTTTTGATTAAAAAAGTATCATTTTGGTTACTGAAAACAACGTCGTAAATAAATCTTTGTTTCAAAGGCTCTTTTGGAGTCGCTACTAGTGGTACATCAAGAGTATATTCATATTGAGGTGGAAAGAATATTATTTTTCAATACTTGTGGTTAACCCATGGCGCAGTAATAAATAACTGCTGGTATCAATAGTTTCGTCTGTTTGAATAAGCAAAATATTGTTTGACATTATAAAACAGTGATGAAATTTATCAAATAAAAGATAGTAACTATTTGATCATGTTAATTCAATTAAGAATTGGATACACGTTAAAATTATGTAAATATTTACGAGAAATTTTACTAAAATCCTAGAGAATGGTTTGTCGGTTCCACCATTGTTATAATAGAACATTTTCACGTTACTACGAACTTTGAAGCTACTGTATATACCAATCTGACTATATTACGAAGCGTCATTTAGATAACCTACTTTTTGAATATCTCACTTTTACTAAATAAAAATTTATCGCCTACTTAAAGTTTTACCTCTAAAAGTTTAAAGGTGACTTTATTAATTACTTTTTCTTAATAAAAGCTAATTCTGGCGACTTTTTTTTTTTTTTTTAATAACATACCTTTAAAATTATTTTTAATCAAAGCCATCCTCAAAATTAGAAGTGAACTTTATTAATTTTTTTTCTTTTCCTCTTTAATAAAAGTTGCCTTTAAAATCTGAAAATGATTTTATTAATTTTACTTATAGTCATCTTTAAATTTTCAGAGGAACTTTAAGTATATCACTTAACTTGTAGATTTATGAATTTTATTATAACCGTTATTTAAATTCTACAATATTGCAAATTTGAATAAATAGTTTCAAATGCTAGTTAGAAATTCAAATAAATCTTTTGCAAAAAAATAGATATTTTATATGTAATAAAGGTTTTTTATTTATCATAAAAATATTTTTTGTAAAATGATATAAAATTTATATAGGTAAATAAAAATTATAGAATTTTAAAATTGATTGTATAAGTTTTCCTTTAAAGTTAATTTATATAAATATAAAATATTTAAAAATTTACAACTTATATTTATTTAAAACTCTTAATATATTAGATAAATTAGATATCTATATTTAATTTGATTTAAAAATTCAAATTAGATTAGATATTCAGATAAATAGTTAAACAATTTTATATTAAATTAAAAAAAAAATTTTTTTAAATTTTTTCTTTAAGTATCTATATATATTTAATAATTATAAAAAATTCAAAGTGATAAATATGATAATTACAAATCAACACTGTTAACAGAGCAATTGACTAGTTATAATGAAGTCATGTAGATGACGCAGTATAATGATCTTTTAATCCAAAATTCTGAAAATACTGAGAATTCTACGAATTTGAGAATTTATGTAATTCTAAAGATCTTTCAAATACTGATGATAATCCTAATTTTACGAATTAAATGAAGCCTAAAAATATTTAGTGTTATATTTATTTTTAATATTCTAAATTTTATTGTTATTTTTATTAATTTACGTATTTTTATTATTCTCAATATATTTATTTTACTTATATTTTATTTCATCAAATTAGTTAGTTTATAGCATAGTAATTAGTTAGCCAAGACAAAAGAAATTTTATATAAATAGATAGACTTTTTGCTTATGTTATAAATTAACTCTCTTGTGAATACAAGTTTTAATATTAATAAAGGAATCATTTAAAATCTTATATCTTTCTGCCTCTTTGTGTCTTCATATAATCTGAAGTGATCCTTACACATTATTTGTAATTGAGTTTGTCATTTGAATTCTTTAATTAAATTATTTATAATCTCGTCATTCAAGTCTTCATACTTGATAGATTTGTTTAAGTCTAATATGTAAATTTAATAAAGTTAAGAGTTAGGCAGATCCTAATATCTTGACTATAGTAAGCTGCAGTTAGAAACTTTGAGTAGAGACTTGATAATGTGACCATTCTAAGTTGAAGAATCTTACAGTAATAACACAAATAATTTAATTAGTCAATAAAAAGGTATATAATCACATATATAACAAATAAATGTCATAAATAAAATTGCATTAATTTAAATAATAAGCAGGTATACAAATTGCCAAATTTATTAAATTACATAGTATTTAATAATCTTTTGCTTATACTCTAGACTATAAATCAATGATTATTTTATAAGTTTTACTAATTATTAAAATTTAAATTTAAAATTGATATATAAATAATTTAAAAATTTTATAGTTTTATAAATAAATTTAATTGTATTTTTATTTGTTAATTTAAATATATTAAAAATTATTATTAAAAAATAATAATTTATAATAAAATTTATAATATCTTTTAAGTAAAATTAAAATATATTTTAATTTTTTATAATAAAAGTATTTTTTTTTTATAAAACTAAAATTTATTTTTACTCATTTTTATATTATTAAAAAACTTTATAAAATATCTAAAATTATATAATATTGAATTTATAAATATTTAAATATAAAGAAATTATATTATTAAAATTAATATATATCGATATTTAATAATTGATAAATTAAAAATAAGATTTTATTAAAAATAATAAATCTATAATATATTATAATTATATAATTATATAATATACTTTAATTAAAAATTAAAAAAGTTATAAATTATTATATAAAAATTTATATTATATTATAATTAATAATTTTACTATTTAAGAAATAATAAATAATTCTAATAGTAGAAATTTAATTAAATTATAAAATTTAAATATTTTAATTAAAATCTTTAGAGAAATTAAGTTAAATTAATTCTTAAACTTAATTTAATTTTTTCAAATTAAATAGATCAAATACTTAAATTATTACATAAAATTTAATAAATTTATTATATAATACTAATCTAATAATTTAATAATATTATTATATTAAAAATTACTTATATGTTATATTGACTAATTAAAATAATAATTATTATATAAATATTATTAAAATAATAAAATATTAAATTTTAATTTATAATAAATAATTAAAAATTTAGATTTAAAATAAAAATAATGTAATATATATTTAGAGGGTGATCATAAATATCTAAATGATAAGTATTTTTTATTTATTTACTTTATTATATTATTTTCTAATTTAAGTATTTGTTTATAATATAAATGTATATCAATTATAATAAATAATAATAATTTTCTTTTGAACAAAATAGTTAAAGTAAAAAAATCAATAGTTGAATAATATAGAGTAATTCTTTACAATCATAAATAATATGATTCATATTAAATAATTACTAATAATATTTAATATGATAAAATAACTATTCATAATGCGATAAAATATTTTAAAAAAACTAGATTTACAATACTAAAAAAAACATTGTAATCTGAAGTCACTTTTGATTTAAATGCATAAGCTTCACTCAAAAAGCTTATTATATAAAATTTAAAGTATTATCATCTTACTATTCAAAATTATGAATTAAAAAAAAAGGTTTTAACTTTTATAATTTATCAGACTCTTAAAAATGTTAGCTTACATTTGTATATTACTCATTCTAAACTATTAATTTCTAAAAATAATAAAAAAAGATTAGTTTGAACTTTAGAATAAAAAAATTAAACAATTGCAAATAAAAGAAAATTGTATAGTTTAGTTAATTTTTATAAGATCATAATTTACATATATAGTATATATCAGAAAATGAATTTGACCCTTTATGTTTAACTATTACAGTAAAGTATAGTCTTAGTTAAATGTTTGAAAATGCTTTTTGTATTATAGATTAGAACCTCTTATTCCTTTTTATGAATCTGTAATAAGATAAAAATATACAAAAAATATTACAAAAATATGTTATTCCTTTATTTTGCAAATTAGTTTCTCATAAATAAGAAATTTTTCAGGAAGATAATACTCTATCTCATTAAGTAAAGATTGCTGCTAATATTTGTAATGCTACAAAGATTTCTATATTACTCTAGCTTATATAAAGTCCTGATTTAAATCTAATTAAAAATCTTTAAAATAAAGTTGATAAGAAAGTATATAACTTATCTAATCAACTTAAAATTTAAAAGATTTAAAATATAAAGTAAAAATACTTGGTATTCAATTTCACTTGAATATATTTAAAATTTAGTTAAAAGTATGTTTTATTAAATCTAAGCATATATAGTAGCTGAAGGTGGTTCAACAAAATATTAGTTTTTATTTA